TTTGACTTTTGTACTGTTCTTCATAAGTTTTCTATAAAGTTAATGGAAGGTTGCAGGCCAAGGAATTGTGTCAATATCATTTCGGTTTTCCAGCAGGAAGTTTGTCTTAACACATGAACAAGGCAGTTGTCTTCTTGCATTATCCAGGAAGTGTTTCCGTTGTTATCTAAACTATTGACGTTGAGTTAATATAACCGTCTACTGGTATTAATACATCCACTCCATAAAACTTATACAACCCCAAAACATGACTGAAATATTTGAATGAGTACTATATTGTCCGGTGAGAATAACTTTTTTTCCAATTTTCTTCAACTGTCCATGTCCGATGGACCTATACTAACACTATTCTAAACACCATTCACGATTGTTCTTTGAGATGCTAGTTCGCTTTGAACCCCATATCTTTTATAATCTAAGTCTCTTGAGTCTTTTCTTCAATGTTCTCCCAGATACTTCTCTTGAATTTATTTAAGTAAAAGATGCCAATAAAATTGGATAACTTCGTAATCTTATGTGCTTTATCAGCCGTGAAAGTCAGGTGTCACTCGTAATGGAGGTTATTTTGCACTTACCATTTCGGGGGTTATTTTCTATGCGTTTTTCTTCGTGAAAACGTTTTAAAACCCTCTTAACTGTCGACCGGGATGAGTGCAATGTTTTTAGCAATTTTTTCTTCCAGATATTCGATTATAGTGCATTGCTAATATTGACTGCTTCTGGTACTGTGACATTTCTGTCCTGTGTAGCGCCTTCTTGTGTACATAATAATAATAATGATAATAATAATAATTCGAGGTTCTTCTTATACATCGTAGGTCGTCTCAAAGCAGTTCACAAATTAGTATCCGTGTGCATAGGGCTTTTGCAACCAGCCACAATCTTTCTCAACTCCTTGGGGAGCATACAGCCGGTTCTGCCATTTCGGCGCTAACAGCTAGCATTCAACAATTCTAGCACTGCCCAAACACGTACTCATTTACAGCTGAGTAGACTGGAACAAGCGGAGTAAAGTATCGTGCTCAATTATACAACACAGTGCCGTTCCATGGCTCGAACCCGCAACCCTTCGGTTACGAGCCCGGCGTCCTACCACTAGACTACCGTGCCTCCGAACATCAGCATCGGAAGTTTATAACAGAATCAACCACTGTACCCAGGTTCCGGATTACGGAGCAGAATGTCACGATTAACGTTATATATGTTATGATATGTGTTTCTTGAAAATAAACTGTTTTGTTTTATAACGAATACGTTGTAACGCCTCTAGCGTCGTTTTTACTTCGACGGTGGCCACTCATTTATGGCACAGCATTGTAAGTTTAATTTCATTCAACAGACAATCATTATATTGATGCAAGTAACATGGTGACGGATACAGGGATAATTCTTCTGAGTCTGTTATATGGAGCATGTTACTCTGATCCACTTATGACACGTCCTGGTGCTGGTGTAAAGACTTGCTCTTACATTGTACTACGGTAAGTTAGGCATATTGCGTAACTGATGTACTTACTCCAGTAATGTCTCCTGCGATCATAGCGTCAAGGTCGAAGTGATCGTAATTTGTACGCATAGATGCACTTTTATACTTGTAGTCATATTGAAAACAAGACTGATTTTAGTTATATTGGATTGTATTGTGTCAAAGTACATAAGGTGATTAGCTTGTCTAACACATGTTCGACATATACGTACATATATGTTTATTACATTGCCTAAGGAAGAAGCTTTCTCCAACTCTGCAACGTCTGCTTACGTAATTGTATATATCTTTATTTATTTTCCGTTTTTCAATTGTCTTTATAATACAAAATGGTTCTTGTACGAGTTTCATGTATGAGTCCTTGTATGGTTATTGTTTTCTTTGTGTATTGTCAGTGTGGTACATTGTATGTTTTTCATGTAAGTTTATTGTGTGGGATATTTTATTTATGTGTATTGTAGATAAGAACATTTTACCGTGCATATTGAAGCTTCGGTACGTTTTATCCGTGTGAGGCTTCAAGTTACGGACATGTTAGCCTTGGATATTGACATATCTTAATTGCAATTCTCGAGTGTAAAATAATAATAAAAACACCACATCTCTTTGTCAATACTAGTTGTTATCAAACGGATATCCTATGTACGTAATTAAAATCCATTTTCCACAATGAACAGACACTATCACAATGAAATAGTTCAGTAAACCTAAAGGGTTTTGATTGTTTGAAATTGTAATCTAGACTAATTATTGCTCTTTTTGTATAAAAATTGTTTTTAGCGAAAAAATGTAAATATGATGACATCGAAATACTTACAAGTTTTCGGTTAAGACTAATGACAAGCTCATTTCTCTAAATGTTAGTTTTAAAAAAGCTTTTAAGAATATATATTTATAAATTCGATATACATTACATGTATCTTCAAAATCTCTATGTATCGCTAACACTATTTACATGTATATGGACTGTGAGGATCGAGCCTTTAACACATATAATACCAAAGTATAATACGATACAATAGGTTGGGTGTAATATGTAGTCAACCCGGTTCTTTGTTGCCATAAGGTTTAATGTGATTCTGAGCTGCATATGTAGATCAAGGCCAGCATTTATGAAACTGATATCATGCTAAAACACAGATTTAGTTCTAAAGCAAAGTTTCTTGACCCGTTGCTTAAGTAATAAAAATCGCCTTTTTGTCAATGATTAGAAAGACTTTAGGCGCGACTTATAGCCTAATATCATTTGCATTCTCCAGGCTTTGTGAGAACCGTTTATTGAGTATAGGCCTTTGTTACGATTACCTTGGAGGTAATATTGAGTCCAGCACTGTTCAGAATCTATAGAAGCTGTTAGAATGGAGGTATATCAGATATGGCTGCTTTTGCGATAAAAAAGAGGCTAATGGTTATATCGATCCGGTCCTGGTCGTTGATACAATAAGGTTTATGTGATATTATTAGGAGACTGTTTTTTATGATATCGATTACATTTTTAAAGGAATCAAATTTGGGATGATCTTATGTTGTTCTTGGTTTCTTTTGCAATATACATTTGTAACCTTGATCGAGTTAAGATAGGTCTATGATACGGTAAGTTTGGAGACTTATTTCGGTTAGGCTATGTTTGGGATAGGTTCGGCAAGTTTATTGCAAGAAAGCGACACTTTCAACGCTAATGAATAACTGACGCTGTTAATAATGCAGGCTTCATTCTGTAAACAGACATCCTATTGACTAATTATTTAAGTAAGTGCTTGACAGTCTCATCCAAATTATTACTTATTCTGAATAAGTTTTACTTGTATGTATAAATGTTTAAATGGTTTGCTCTAATTACATACCAACAAATGTAAGTGTATGAATATGGTGTAGACTTTGTGTGTATAAATGTATATATATATGTGTCTGTATATATCTATGTTTTACACACATGTGCGTACCTGATTATCAACACTATGGCCATTTATAAGTGTGTTAATATGATGTAGGCTTTGTGTGTATAAATGTATATATATGTGTCTGTATATATCTATGTTTTACACACGTGTGCGTACCTGATGATCAACCCTATGTCCATTTATAAGTGTGTTAATATGATGTAGGCTTTGTGGGTATAAATGTATATATATGGGTCTGTAGATATCTATGTTTTACACACATGTGCGTACTTGATGATCAACACTATGTCCATCTATTTAAGAATTGAACTGTTTTCTATTTGAATGACACAGATTTGCAAGCAAACAAATCATACTGCGCTAGCGCGCATTATTTTGTTTGCTTGCAAAGCTGTGGCATTCAAATAGATCATAAATATCATACAAAAACAGTTCAATACTTATATTTACGTTTTCTCTGCCTCTTATGTTCTTTTTTGACTTATAATTTATAATTAAAATTAAAAATGCCCGCCTTATCGACAGTCCACACGATTTCGTTCAATAGTTTGAACAGCGTATTGTCGCGTGCTGATTGGCAAACAAAGTAGTACTTTGACATTTTACACACACTTCAAATTTATTCCACAATTTAGTATCAATACCATTGCGTATGATATGTCTATAGGGTGATTCCAGTTTTTCAATAGAAATCTGAGCGGAAAGTTTTGAAACAAATTTGAAATTGTTTCGATTTTCCCCCGGAACAAATTTCGCGCATGGATAAATACAGTGAATACCGTGAATGGGACCTTGACCTCCACGAGGGAGTTATTTTTGGAAGCTAATTCGAACTTTTCTCTTTGCTCGTTTTGTGAAGAATACAGGCGTGAATGTTTATGTTGATTGTATGGGAACCCGACAACAGTCGGTAGATTCTATAACAGCATCGTTATTTGACATGTCGTCTGAAACTGAGGAACCGTGGATCCGAGACGCGTGAAACTGATAGCGTTTGAAGTGAGTGATCTTGCGACGGAGCACAGGTTCGTTACAAATGTCTGAAATGACGAATGTTTATGTGTGCTGTGACTCAACAGTAGGTCTGTAACATATGTGTCAGTAGGTCTATAGAATATGTGTATTTCAGACATTTATAACGAACCCCTGTTGATCAGTGCAGTGTAACAGACGATATTTCTGATAAATTGCATTAGCGTTAAAATTGTTTCCATTGCCGGCATTGGTGATTTCAACCGATGTGCATTTTGTACGATATTGCAGACCTTCGTCTTGTTTTCGTTGTATTAAAATCGTTTTTTATTTCTTTTTTATTTTTTATTTTGCTATTTTGCACATAAATTTACAATGACATTATCAAATCTCACAATGCCCAGCGATATTTCAGCAGCCGTCATATTTATTTTTATATTGGATATTGTAGTTCCGGTCAGTGTTGTAATTTATACGCTAAGAATTGTGTCTCGTGCGGCATGGTAATTATGTCTCGTGCGGCATGGTAATTAAAGTCCCATCAACGACACAGCTCTCAAAGAGGCTATATAGTGACAATGCCATGCAAATGTAAATATAAGTGTATGAATATGATGTAGGCGTCGTGTGTATAAATGTATATATATGTGTCTGTATATATCTATGTTTTACACACATGTGCGTACCTGATTATCAACACTATGCCCATTCGCCCTATTGGAACTTATCAACAACTGCAATCGAAACGTACTGAGAGCGACATCAATAGTTCGCAACAGCAGGACCTATACCTAGGTATGGTTGTTCGCACGTGTGGGAACTCTCACTACAACCCATTGACAGATAAATCAGAGCCTTGCGTTCTTACCGAGTTAGGATCATCTCTTGATTATCCAGCGCGTGTGTGTACAGAGCACGTGAGCCAATGGACAAACATCTGGGCCTGAAATACCATCAACAAGGTGCTGTAGTAGTGTTATCTCGGAGTATACTACAAACCACGTCTCGGTAAGTACAGTGTGACTTATCATCTTTCTGACAACTTCAGCGCGTATTGTAGCACTGTATAGATGTCATTGTCATTGTTTGCGTTGATAAAAATGTCTTGCATGCGTTGTGAACGATCAAGTCCTCGAGGAGATTGTCGTAAATACAAGAACAGATCTCCAAAAACCTTTGATGCATCAAATGGAAAAAGCATTTTTTGATAACAGACCCTGGATGCATCTTATAGCAAACCATTGTATAATAACAGAAACCTTCTCGGCTCGTCCAGGCTGTGTCTGTTCTCATACAAGATATACGGTATCATAGTATCGGAATTTAGGTATCGGTATATGTTAAGCAAAACTGACTTTGATATCATTTTAATATTGACAACACACATACACAAGAGTTAAAATACACACAAGACGAAGAAAATTGGAACTGTATTGCTTGTATTATATACGTTTATCATGTCTACTGTAGGCGTGTTCCCACCATGATTATTTACAACTATGTACATACAATTGATATATAACCATGTATATATGGTAAAAGACACAGGTACACATTATGATATTAACACATGCACATATGTACACAAATGCATAAACAATATTTGATATTAAAATATGTGCACACATAACGATATTACAAATGTGTATTCATGATGCTATTTATCAAGTGTTTACCTTTTATTTACAAACGACTACACATCATTTCTGTATCATCGTAATATTGACAAAACCCATAAACAAGAATAAAAATTCACAGATGTGAAAGGAAATTGGAATTGTATTGCAAATATAATATGCATGTATCATGTGTAGTGTATGCGTGTACACACTTCGAAATGTACACCCGTGCACTCCTTATCATATTTACAACTATATGTACACACAATTGATATATAACTATGTATGTATAGTATAAGAGAAATGGACGCATTATGATATGTACATATATGTACACAAATGCTTAAAGGATATTTATAAACGTGAACATGATACAAACACTTGTGCACACATACAGATATTTACAAATGTGTAATCATGATGCTATTTACACTTTTTTACCCTTATTTACACACGACAATAAAAGATATATATTTACAAAACACATAGACAATGAATAAAATACACATCAAACGAAGAAAATTAGAATTGCATGGTATGTATAATATAGGTGTGTAACATGTATTTTGCATGCGTATACACTCTACGAAATTTACACCCGTTAACTCCTTGTCATATAAATACCTCTGTACATACATTATGATTAATATATTAACATGTAATTATGATATAAAACACGTATACATATTGTGATATTTATTCACGTGTACAAATATGTACACAAATGCACACATGCTTTTTATAAACGTGCGTATAACATTTAACGCACGTGTACACAATGCTAGTTACTCACATGTATGTGAATATGTGATACTAGTAACACACGTGTAAACCTGAAAATCACACACGTGTATATTTTATATTCAATTTAAATAAAAGAAATTGAATTTTACCATTCTATTCAAGAAGACAAGTTGTATATCCTATCGTTCAGATATATATATACATATAATTTAATCGGCCTTGACATTGTGGTTGCAATGACTCAATAAATCGTTGAAACTATTATAACATTGACACTATTAGAACATTGGTACTTTAAAAACATTGAAACCATTAGGACATTGGATTTTTGTTTATGTTGTGGCTATTACCTTGATGAACATAGCCATTGTCTGTATAATGCTGTTAGAACACGACTGCCGGGTAAACAGTATGTCATTTCATTATCATCAAGGTTCAAAAGAACTACAGACCTGGCCTATTTCCTAATTTGAATCACTTTGTCCACTCCCTCAGAGACAGTCTGAGTGTCATATTCTTAACCACCGTAAACAGACACAGCCTTACATTTACAGATGTGTTAGTACCTGTAGACTAACGCAAAGGAGTCTTGGACACATTTCCTTATCCTTTGAATTTATTTTTATAAAACATGCTTAAGATGAAGTAAGAGCGATTTTATTTTTATTGTGTTCCCAACCTAAACAAAATGTGCATTAGAACATATGAAAGACATTAAAGTTTAAAAATTAAAGGAAACAAAACAGTTGACCACAGTACCGTTTGTTATACAGTGTGACCCAAGCATCGATATACTGATCCTACCGCAACGGTCAACCAAAGTCATCGATGGCCAGCTTTTACTGGTCAATGTTCATTGTAAGATATACTGGTCAATATCCATTGTAAGATAATTCGCCCTAAATAGCACTCATTGTTTTCTATATATTCAAACTGGACTAATCAATGTTTCATGGTAAATCGTTAGACGATATGAATTGAGTAAATTAATTAATAGACGACTACTGTATGTACCGACTGTGATATAATAATGTAAGGTCGTCACTACGGACAAATATATCCGACGTAATTGAGTCAGATAATCATCTGGTCCATTCCCACATTCTACAAGACATGTAACAGGCAAAGGTCAGGTTTTAGAGCCACAGAGCATTGTCGCTTTTCTCGGCAGAGCCGTAGATCTTTTTCATAATCATTTTGCTGGGTTGGAATCCCCTTCGCGTCGTTTCACCTCATTACTACAAAATGACGAATTTTGATTTTTAAGACTATTAATTGTTGCTATAACTCCTGATTTTATACAAAATTTGAACTAAATTATAGATACGGGGCGGAAAAGGCTGCAGTCTATGAGGCTATGTTCTTGTCATATCCTTAAACATAAGTTTATGATAACTCCGAGTTTTGAGCTTAAGCCCTAAAGCTACATTGTATTCACTACTTTTGTTTAAAGTGAATCGTTACAAGGTCCCATCCCTTACAGATAAAGCTGATTTTTTTAAATGAAATTATTATTCGGTTCTTTGTACAATGTATGTTATTGACGGGAATTGCTTCTAAAGATTTGCAACAAAACAATTTGTCTTAATGTTTCAATACAGAAAGTGTCATATAGCCAAACAATGCCACACACTGCCTGTTCGATTTGTGTTCGCCGAGCATCCGAAAGGCAGAAGAACTAAGCATGCGCTTTGCACTATAGTATCAAATGTAACAGGCCATTGTATTCAGTTCCCCAGAAATAGGACTTTGGCAACACGTTTCTATCTTGAGCGTTTATACTTGAATTGCAGTGATAATTTTTCATTATTAATACATGTCCCCATGATGTGTGGGGCTCAGATTCATTCATCAAAATAATTCTCAATACATCAGGAACTCATTACGGATTATTTATAGCTTGAATAGTCTGTAGGAATGTCGCTTTGAATAATTGAAATTGACGATAATACGGAGATCTCTGTAATCGATGAAATCTGGACTTTATCAGCGTAATCTTTTAGCTTCGTCCTTCCTCATACTGTTCTAATTTCTTATCTTGTTTGATCTTTCGTTTCAATTTTACTATACACGTGAGTTCCCTACAGTGCAGTCCCGTGATCGTTTGAGACTGCGACTTACAAAATGTTTGAATGAATGTATTATTTCGTGGGAACATTTTAGTTTACGTTTCTTTATAAACTATGCGACTTGAACCATTGGTGTGCACAAAAATATTTTATAGATAAAAACCACGTACATCACAGACACTAGCCCCGTCAGACAAATTCTTACCATACAATTCGACAGGAAACATAGTGTGTCTTTGCTAAAACTTGGGCATGTTTTATGGTGTTGTAAATTTTTATGATTGAGTTGGGCTAAATACAAAAGCGTACATTTTATTAGAGGCTTAGGATACAAACCAATCCTTATATAATTTGATGAATGCGTCTTTTTCTCCAAGATAGAAAAAGGTAACTATATATATATCAAAATCCGGCAGCATCGTCGCCGGGAGGAACACGATTGCAATTTGGTATTGACATCGAAACAAGGCACCAGACAAATAATTGGCATATACATGTAAACATCTTTACTGCAAAAATGGATGCAAATCATTTTGTTTATCTCCAAAACGAGTGCACAATTTCATCGCGATAACGATCGGGAATACTCAGAACAGCATATACTTTTTCAAGCCTGCATGGTTATCTGATGGTAACTCACGGACTTTGCTTATTAAAAGCTGTCGGTACAGTAACATTTTCATTGCTACGTCAACTATCGGATAAGTTTTATTTTTGCAAGATAAAGTACTACAAGGCGGTATTTAGATCTAAACGATATAGGAATGGCAGGTGCGTGAGCTTCGGTGAGTGTAGCTGGTAGACGCCGAAAAGAAATACTTACATGTTGACTAAAGATTTTTGACCATTAAAAGAAACGTCATCTGTCCAAATGGTCATTTGGCAACTAGCGTACGTGTACAATGAACCACTGTGACGTCAAACCAATGGCAAATTCTACAATAGGTATTGACGTTTCTTTATGACGGTAAACATTTTTACATACATACCTTGAGTGAACAGGGTTATTCAGTCTCATTTAGCTAGTACATTGTTTGTCATCGCCCAAGCCCCCTTCGAAGCAAATTATTTGTTTTGGCAGTGTATGTTAATCTGACATTAATTGTTAATAGATGGATAAACAGAATAACTGGTTCGTTGTATATTTCACACGGGTTCCTTAAGCTTATATTTCTAACAATAGTGAAATGTTGCTAAACAAAAACAATGAACATCTTTCATTGCATTTATACTGAAGACAAGAATTACACTCGACAAGCCTTGCCGTGTCGTTGATTTGTTAACACTGTTATTTAAACATTCAAACACATGGGAATTATTTTGGTTAATGATATGAATATATAGTTATAAAGGATGTTTATGAATATATATCAACATATTTAATGATAAACCTTAAAACCACTTCGTAGACTGTTTTAATAGTTTTCAATATAGCTGATGTTGGTTTTACCTTGATGCAAAATCGTGTGTTCTGATAAGGTCTATTATGGAAAGGTGTCATTCTGGTTGTGGTCATACCTTGAGGACCATATGCACTGATTATGTCACGGTTGATATAACTATCCAATATGTATCT